TGCTTGCTGGTCACTGCGTGAGTCTTCAGGAACCTCCTGTCTTTGCCTTCCCGTGTGGGGATTACAGACAGACATGCACCACCACGCCTAGCATCTCAACCAAATTAAAAAAGGAGAGAGTGTAGTATAATGCAACCTACTTCAACAGTGATCAGTTTTCACATCTTGTTTCGTCTATTCCCCTCAGCATACATTTTCTCCTCCAGAGTCCTTAAAACTGAGCCCAAGATATATTATTTCAAGTGTCAACAGTTTTCTTTGTATCTGTAGCAGATGAGACTTTAAAAAAAACCCTAAACCAACAAGTTGTTATTGTGCTTTGCAGATCGTTGACAGTTTTTTCCTTCCTTTCTTTTTCCTTTCCTCTCTCCTTCCTCCTGTCTATTTCTTTTCTTTCTTCCTCATTCTTCTTGTTTCTTGCCTTTTTTCTTTTTGAGATGGAGTCTGTAGCTCAGACTGATCTCATACTCACTATATCCGCAAGGATGATGTGAATTCCTGGGATTACCGAAGTGTCTCGCTGTCTAGGGTTTATGTAGTGCTGGGGCTTGAACCCAGGGTTGCATACATCTAGGCAAGACTCTGTCATCTCAGTTACCTTGTCAGTCCCCTTTCCCCCTTTAGCTTTCTTTCTTTTTCTTTAAGGAGACACAGTCTTGTGGTATTGCCTAGACTAGCTGGAACTCCCAGGCTCAAGTGATTCTCCTGCCTCAGTCTCTTGAGTGACTGGGGCTGTAGGCATGTACGACTGTACCTGAGTGTTATTGTTATTTATTGTTAACGTCTGTGCCCCTCACAGGCAGTTCCCTCCCTGGAGGGAGGGCCAGGGAGTATATTTGATAGATATCAAACTAAGCTTCCAAGAGAGTGGGTTACTTGGATAACGTTCCAGAGCTAATGGGTGTCAGAGAGAGGCTCAAATGTAGGCAGTATGAGATGTGTTGCTTGCCGAGGCTCTACTGGGCAGCTGTGGGCCTAGCACTGAGCATGTGGTGTAGGACCTGCCCATGGCAAATACATCAAGGGAATGGCTGCAGAAACTGTCTGCCAAGGGCTTCAGTCTGATGGCTGCTTCCTTTCCTTTCCTTCATTCTCCTCATCTTCCTCTTTTTATATCTTCCCTTTTCTGTTGATTGACAATATTTGATTTTCTAATGAAGAAATATTTCTGCCCGAGAAAGTCTTTTAAATATAGAATTGGAAATATACTGCTCTCTCTGTGACAGCTCACAATGAATGTGGTGGAGGTACAGCCACTCTCCCCAAAGGTAAGCTGGCTTGGGAATTTTCCCTTGGCTTTTTTCTTATTTTTAAATTTTATTTATTTACTTTCTCAGGGACCAGGTAATACATTCACATGGTTAAAAAATCAGAAGGTACAAAAAGAAACAGTGCAAGTCTACCTCACTTCCCCAGCCACTTGCCACCTGGTTTCCCTGCCTGGAGGCAACTGAAGTGTCCCAGTTTCTTGTGTATTTTTTCAAAGATGTTTTATGCAAATACATGCATATCCAATATATATATATATATATATATATATATATATATATATATATATATATATTCTTTTTCTTCAGTGGTGGGAATTGACTCCAGGGCTTCACACACATATATTCTTTTTAAGATGGCTGTGTTTCTTAACCCTCGAGTTGTAGACATAGCCTAAAGTTTTCTTATAGTCTCTTTGGCCCTGGTGTGTGCCTGGGGGCTAGTGGAAGCCCTCATATGCACAATATTTGGGCTTTGGTTGAGACAGGCTCCCATACAGCCCAGGCTGGTCTTGAACCACTGCTTCTACCTCTCAGGCACCGCGGTTAAAGGCATGTGCTACCACCCACAATTTTGGGGGCTCTTTTCAGATGCTCCCATCTTTGAAAAGTCGGTAGCCCCTCACAAGAGCCCATGAAGCACAGAAATACTTTGCTCTACTTTCCATGTGCAGAAAGAGACTCGGCAAGGCCAAGCACCTTACTGAAAAGCACAGGAACAGTTGGTGTATTTGTGGTAGGGTGAGGGCTGGGAGTAGTGTGTGGCTTCATCCAGCATGGACTTTGTAGTGGCAAGAAAGATGTTTACTCCAAAGTCAGTTTAAAAAATATTCTAGTGACACTAGTGTGGGGCTGTGGAAAAAAGTAAGGGAGCTTGCAGTTCTGGCTGGAGTTGTTCTCTCCCACTCACTACTGGGCAAGTCTCATCAGTTTGGAGCCTCAGTTTTCTCATCTCTTAAAATGGGTGCAATACCTCGCCAGCAGGAAAGAGAATGCCATACTTCCAGTAGAAATGGCCTATAAGAAGGGGTGCGTTCTAATGCTTGCCTCTTGTTTGTCGTTAGAGTCACTAGGTCTGAACTTAGTTTTACAGTAGCCAGGTGGACAGCAGCCTTTGGCTGCTGGGAGGGCAGGCTCACACCAGGATACACTTGCCTTGGAGCCCATTTCTTCTGGGTCTGTGCTCAGAGTCTCCTGGGCAGTAAGAACAGCCCCTAGGCTGAGCACAAGTCTGCACTGTGGGAGGTTCCAACTGACTTTGATCTTTATCTCACCGGCTTGAAAGACCATTTGCAAAAATTTAAAATTTATCCTGACAATTTCATACATGTACATAAATGTATCTGGATCACATTCACCCCATCACCTTCTCTTATTCCCCCATCTCCTCCAACTGAACCCCTTCTAACAAACAAGTCTCTTCCTACCCTCATGTCTTTTTTTTTTTCCCTTGGCGACTGAGTTTAATTAGTGTTGCTTAAACAAGCAATTCATTTTTAGCTTATTACTTGATTTGTGGGACTAGGGGTGAAACCCAGGGCCTTTTGGATAATAGGCAGGCATTCTACCACTGAACTATACCCAAACCTATTATTATTCTATTGTCAAACTAAAATGTAATTCACTAGAGGAAATCTGAAAAAATAGAGAGAAAAAAACTCAAAGGCAAAACAAAGCATCTTGTAATTTCCTAGTCCCAGCTGATGCTCTGATGCTTTTCCTCATGCCTTCATAATTCCGGACAGAGCTGGTCTTAGCCTGCTGTGTTGCTTTGGTGGATGATGGGTCTACCTTTGGGTATTTCAATTTTCTTTTGTAAAGTTTAAGTGATTCCTGGTTTTACCTGTCGTTCTTTTTAATCTAATGTTTTCCTCTTTTCCTTCTCTTCTTACCTCTCTTTTGTCCTCTCTTCTCCTGTTTTTGATGTGTTAGGGGACAGAACCCAGGGCCTTGTGTGTGCTGGGCACCTGGCCTGCCACGGAACTGCACTCCAGGCTAGCATATCCTATAGGAATGCGATCAATGTCAGCCTGGAGGCCCCTGCACTAGTGTCCATTCTGTCCTGGCAGAAGCCCATTCTGTTGGGCCAAAACTGAGGCCAAGCTGGTTCTCAGGTAGTGCCAGCCTGGCTAGGCTGCCTTGGCACCCCCAGAATCTTCTTCCCCCATTCTCTCCATATTGGAGGCATAACTTTGACCAGGTCCATTCTCACTGAGAAGGCCATAGGGCACTAGCTAGCCGTTGTTTTTTACCAGGCGGTTGCCTTCACAGGGACTTTGGAGGTAGGCCCCCTTGAAAGGACTGCAATGGGAACCTAAAAGTGGGATAAACAAATCTTTGAGAGGGCCAACCTTGGCACCAGCGCATTCAGCACCTCCCAACTCTTCAATTCTTTGAAATCCCCATTCTTTGCAGTGTAAGCCAAACTGCCTTAAGGCCAGAGTGTATAATTAGAATAGTGGACATTTGAAGTGACTGGTACTTCTTGTCCACCAGACACCCTCACTGTTTAATAAAAGCACGGCTATTCCCAGCTCAGGACACACTCAGGGCTTTCTCACTCCCTTCTGTGGAATGCTCTTGCTTGCTTACTTGTTTGCTTGCTTGGGGAAATTCAAGTTAAATATCCCTTCAGACATGCTGCTGGGGGCCTGTGGGCTGCGCCAGTTGCTCTCAATTTGGCTTTGCGCATGTATTTGCTTTTTCTTCCCTTTGCCCAAGGCCAGGTCTGGGTTGTGCTTGTGTCTCTTAGACTTGTCACAGTGGTTGAGAGAACTTAATAAATATTTGGTCAATCGGCTTCTAAAATCATACTGAATGGCTGACTTTTCATCACCATTGCACCATCTCCCCGGGTTACACCAGTCAGCGGTCATGCGTCTCAACTATCTACACCTGAGACGGAAGTGGCCTGTCTAACGCATGGAAACGCCCCCTGAGACCTTGTGTTCCTACCCCTGAATCTTTGGCAGGGCAGGCGCCTCCTCAGAGTGCAACAGTCTCCTTTTCATGGACACAGAGCCTGTAACCTTGCACCTTGTTTTTCATGGACAGGCCCTAGCACGTGACAGAGTGTGTCATCTGGGCAGGGGATACACTAGTTCCCTACGAGGGTCCAAGTTTTAGGGTGGGAGTCCTAGGCTGGCCAGGGCAGAATATGGAAGTAAGAGGGTCATGTCTGACCTTTGGTGACAGGAAAAGTCCAGAGGTGTGTGCCGTCAGTGGCAGTTTACAGTGAGAAGAGCGAGGCAGAGCTAGGTTTTGAAAGATTTTTATTAGAAACAACATGAGTGCACAATAGTAAAACAAAAGTGGCAAGACTCCTCTTCCCCCCAGTCTGCTGAGAGCACCCCCCACAGGGCTCTACCAAATGGCGCTGGGGTCTAAACCTGCCTGTCTGCTGCACCTCATCCCACTTTCCTGCAGTTTGTGACTTGTCCCCTTTAAGAAGATAAAAATACTCCCCCCCCCAATTTGCTTAAAAATAATTTTGAAACATTAAAAACGGCATTTGTGTGTGTGTTTTAAAATAAACACTTTAAACATTGGATATCTTCCTGGCTCTGGGGTGCCTGCCTCCTCACCCCAGGAGGCCAGCTGCCACTTGGTGCCCCTTGGAAATTTTCAGGAAGTAATTTCTTCCAAATTTCCCCTGCAGTCACAAATTCCACAAACTGCTTGCATCAACACACTGTCTTCATTATAGGCACTGCTTCCCAGCTCTGGAAATCCGATCTCTTTTTGTCAACTAGACCACATGCTTCAGATTCCCTGCAAACAGGAGAGAAAACAGAACTCAAATTCAGGTAACATATATGAATGACATACCTCAATGGAGCTGCAGAGAAGAAAAGAAGTGGTTATATTTTGGGGCCAGTTCTCCTGCTGAGAATGAGTATGTGGTGACCCTTTTTATGTGAATTAAGCCTTAAATGATGAGGGACAAAGGGCCTAGATACTCTTGTTATCCTAGAAAGCAGTATACAAATCAGGATTTTTGATCACCAGCTGACTGCTGAGACCGGGTGGGTTCAGGCCAATCCAGATCAATCGTGCAGTCGATCCTAGTCCAAATGTTTTTAGACACACACACACACACACACACACACACACACACACACACACACACACGTACGTGTCCAGATAATACTTTTCAGAGTTCACAGTTAACTGCATCAAATCTTCCTCTACCCCAACCTTTCTATCCCCCTTAGCAGGGCACAACCCTTCTGGCATTTTCTCTTGTGGGACCTATGCAGTATGGAGTCAAGAAAGGTTGGGTCAAGAGTGCTGCTGGAAAAGCATTACACAGAACCCGGCTCTAAAAGTGCTCAGTTTGTTCACTTGCTCCTTGCTCAGTCTTCTCTTTGCTCCATTTCCTTGAGCAGAACACCAGAGTTCAAGTTCTACTTCCTGCTTGTCCTTGAAACAGGAAGGATACTGTTCTCCTTTAAGCATCAGAAGCTACAGGGTGCCTCACGCCAGCAGGCATACAGTGGATGGAGAATGACGGATGAGTGGAGAGGGAGAAGGAGGTAATCAGAAAAAAAACCCAGTAGCTTTTCTAAAAATCGTACTTAGGTTTTGGTGCTGGGGATCAAATCCCGATCCCTGTGAGTGCTAGGAAAGCGGTCTACAATTGAGTTCTACTTTTGTAACTTTAAAATTACAGTAAAATTGACTTTCTCAATGCACAGACCTGATTCTGAACATATATATTTGTTCATGATACAGAAGATTCCTAACCCTTAAAGCCTTCAGCGCCATTTTTTAGAAGTCACATCCTTCTGCCTACCTGGCAGCTACTGATGTCTTCTCTGTCATTATAGTGTTGTCTTTTCAAGAGTGCCATATAAGAGCCGGATGGTGGTGGCACACACCTTTAATCCTAGCACTCAGGAGGCAGAGGCAGGTGGATCTTTGTGAGTTCAAGGCCAGCCTGGTCTACAGAGTGAGTTCCGGGACAGCCACGGCTACACAGAGAAACCCTGTCTCGACCCCCCCACCCAAAGAATGCCATATAAATGGAAGCAAGCACTACAGATCCATAGGAAGTTGCAAATAACAGCAACAACAAACACCATAGTAAGGGGAGGACCCATGGAGCCTTCACCAGCTTTTTTCCAATTAGCATCTTACATGATTGTTGTTCACATCAAAACTAGGAAGTTGACATTCGCGCAATTCATAGATATTATTCGTATTTCATGAATCTAACTTGTATTATATGCTAATAAGTATATAGTTCTATCCAATTTTCTCACAAGTGTAGATTCATATAATCTTTATTCCAAACATGACTCAGAACTGTGGTATCTCATCCCTGCTCTTCCTACCCTTTTAAAACCCAGTCATTCCCATTCTTCCCCCTTCACCTTCTCTAAGCCCTGGTGACCATTAATGTTCTTCATCTCTAAAACAGTTTCATTTCTAGAATGTTACATAAATGGACTATTATAGTACATAAAATTTTGTGACTGCCATTTCCACTGCCCTTAAGATCTATCCAAAGGGGGGATAGAGAAGGTTATAAGGCTGAATATGATCAATGCATATGGTACATATGCATGAAAACGCCAGTGAAACACATTATTTTGTATAATTAATAAATGTAAAAAGCCCATCCAAGTTGCTGTGTGCACGAAATACCTGTGCCTGTGGCACAGTCTGTTTAACCCCCACCCACTGAAGGAGAACTGAGCTTTCTTGCTATTATGAATAAAGTTTCTATTTCACATACAGGGTTTTGAGTAAACACAGTGTACATTTAATTGTTTTTTTTTTGTTTTGTTTGAGCCAGGGTTCCTCTGTGTAACCCTGACTGTCTTAGAACTCACTCTGTAGACCAGACTGGCCTCAAACTCAGAGAGACCTACCTGCCTCTGCCTCCCAAATACATTTAGTTTTATAAGAAACTGTCGAAGTGTTTTTCAGAGTCACTGTGTCATTTATACACTTGCCAGGGATCTGGTTCCTCCACACCCTTGCCAGCATGCAGAATTGTTTGTTTTGCCTATTCTGATGGGTATATGGTGCTATCTTGTTGTGATCTCATTTTGATGTCTCCTAATAGTTAATGATGTTAAACATCTTTTATGTGTTAATTTGCTATTTGTATCTCCCTTTTTATGTCTTATGCCCATTTTTTAATTTGCAGTTTTTCTACTGTTGAGTTTGGAGAGCTCTTTGTATGTTTTAGATACAAATCTGTTGTTGGGTATATGATTTGCAAACATTTTATCTCAGTACATTTGTTATCTCTGCATTCTGCTAGCAAGTCTTTTGTAAAGCTAAAGTTAATTTTTGATGAGGCCAAATTCAGCAGTTTTTTTCTTATATTTTGGATCATGTTTTTGGTGTTGGAAACTAACTCAAAATCCTTGGACCATGCCTGATTCTTTATGTCTTTGTTCATGCCCCTTTATGTCTTATGGGCTGCCAAACCTAACTTCAAGATTTGCCTGAGTTCTCTCTCCTTTCTCTTGCACTACCGTAACCTCTGCCACATCTCTTTCTTCAGGTCACTGCCTCAGCCTCTTCACTGACGCTTCTCTTGATTGTAGGGCTGCTTCTTGCTCACTGCCAAATGTGGCCCCACCCCTGACTATCTGGGAGTAAAGCCTAAAGCTTTATCTAGACAGGACTTCATACGTAGGCCCTGTCCATACATGAGAGCCTCTGCTGAGGACACCCCATGGGGAACCCCACTACGGAAGCAAGGATCCCTCCATTTGTAAGTGTAGCCAGTGCTTGGGGAATAAATGAATCCATGAAAGGATAAGACTCTGGGTCATTGTGATTTAGCCACAGATGACCACAGAGAGGAAAGGCTGGTGCTGTATTCTATTACACCTGACTTCGTCTGTCATTACATTTGGAGGCAATTATGTAAAACAGCAGAAATTATTTCCACCAAAAGTGGATGATGAGCAACGTTGAATTTGGGTAACCAAAAATATGTAAGCTTAAATAATGCCCATTGTTTTTCTCCCGATGTCCAGCTTTTCTAGAAGTAGGTGGTAGCCTGACAAAATTCTAAGGCCAACACAGTTTGAGGCCTGGGAGACAGTGCAAGGGAAAGTTCCAAATAGAACTAACTCAGAGACATCTTGAGGTTAGGCTTCAGATTAGAGAGAGCAAACCTAGATGCCCAGAGAGCCAGAGAATCTAGTGCATGTGAGCAAAATCCAACTAGGGCAAGACATGGAGCTGTTATGATGCTTTTATCATTTTCCCACCTTGAATCATGACCAGTATAATAAATACTTTCATGCTGGGTGTGGTGATACACACCTTTCCTCCTAACACTTGGGGTCAGAAGCAGGCAGACCTCCCCATTCGAGGCCAGCTGGTCTAAACAGTATCACAGAGCAACTAGTGATACATTGTAACATGAATGGGGCCTGCTTGTTGTTGGGGTTTTGCCCCTCCTGGTACCCCCAGCTGTTTAGCCCCAAGGAAAATCACACATAGGTCTCTATAAATAAGCTGATTGGTCCATTAGCTATAGCCTTTCACTGGCTAACTCTCACATCTTAATTAACCCATTTCTCTGATCTATGTTAGCCATGTGGCTCACTACCTTTTTTCAGTGGGGCAGATCACATACTGCTGCTTTGGTGGTCTAGGCAGGAGTGGGAGGAATCAGCTTCCCCCTTCCCAGAATTCGCCTGCTGTCATTACATCATTTCTACTTCCTGTCTGGTTTTCCCGCCTATATTTCCTGCCTGGCCAATCAGCACTTATTTAAAACATGATTGACAGAATACAGACAATTCTCCCGCACCAATACATAGTTAGACTGTATCTCAAAAACGCTTTCCTTTTTTGGTCAGCTACTATAAAAATAAAGAAAACTAACAGAGTGTGAGCAGAAACCCATGCTTGGCCTAGAGTGAGACATACAAATGGGAGGGATAGGGTTTGTGGCAAACAAGATGCACATGCCAAGTGGATCCAGCCATTCTTTACTAGGCAGGCATAGAGGCCCCAGGAGTCTAGATTTGTTCATTTCCCAAGTGAAGACAGAAATACATATTTTAATGCAAAGTATCCACAGTGTTAAGTGTGGGTTACTGAAAATTTTGAAGATATGAATAGTCAAATTACTTTTGGAAGCAAAATGTAGCCTGTGAGCTGTTCATAACTTCTAGTTTACACTCAGGACACTCCATTTCCTTCTCAATATTCTGGTCTGGATAATTAGTTATACTAAGTCTTCACCTCTGATATACAAGAAGACCTTCAGAACCGAGACTCAGGAGGCCTGGGTTCTTTTGATTCATTGGTTCATTCTTTCTGCTTTTCTGAGACAATGTCTTGCTATGTAGCCCAGACTGGCCTCAAACTAAAGCTTCTCCTGCCTTAGCCTCTCAAGTCCGCTGACAGACTCATTTGCCTATCCAGCTTTTCAGTGAACATATATGTAGTGGTTCCCTTGTGCTATGTCCCTTGCTAGGTGCTAGTAAGCTTTTTTCTTAGTCTTTCCTTTTTAATTAATAGACTTAGAGCAGTTTCAGGTTTGCAGAAAGACTGAGCAGGGTGCACCCAACTAATGCAAAACGTTAATGGGAGAAAAGGGACATGTACAGTGCTTCCTGAACTTCCTGATCCCAGTTGATCCACTCACCTACTGAAAGTCCTCTTGGTTACTTCCATGTTTGGATGATTATGAATAATGATCAATATGCTCTAAACATTCATGTACAGCTTTTTTTATGGACATGAGTTTTAACTTACTTGGGCAGATACCAAGGAAGCCATTGCTGGAT